ATAGTGAAGACCGTATCTTGGGACCTGTGCCAAAAGACTTGGCTAAAAAAGGACTGGCCTCCTGCCAGAGAACACATCATTGTTTATAAAGACAACATCTCTTAAGAGCCTTAAAAATGCTCCCATCCTTTTATTTACATTTTTAACACACAGCGCTTGGGTCAGACACTAAGATATTCATGGCAGTTCTCATAACAACTCTGTGAAGTAAGTTTTGTTATCATTTTAAAGATGCAGAATCAGTGGCACAGAGAGGTTAAGGAATTTGCTGAGGCTCACACAGGCATGAAGCAAGGAATGAGATTTGAACCCATGACAGTTTGGCTCTAAAGTCTGTACCCTGTTGTGCCCTCTTGTGGGACCCTATCCCGAGGAAATAATCTCAAATGCAAACAAAGCTGTGTACATTAAGGTAACTACCTGACAGTATTTATGATATCAAAATTGGATCCAGCCTAAATGGTAAAGGTTTGGTGAAGCATGCTGCGCACACATATTACTGTGCAGCAGTTTAAATGCCTGGCGGTTTTCTAATGACATAGTAACATGGTGAGGAGATGTGAGATGATATATTGATGCAAAATTGTAAAAAAAAAAAAAAAAAACTAGATAGAAATAGTTTAAAGAGAAACATGTCCGTTTGCCATTTGGGGAGGTGGGGTTGGCAACAGTGTGAGCTTTTTTTTTCCTTTCTGCTTTATTATAATTTATGTACTTTCCTATTTGCTTAGAAAATTTCCTTTTCCAGTTGAAGTTTTTTAAGAAAAAAGTGTTTAAGAGCATGGCCCTATATGCATTATCCTATTTCTTGAAAATTGGAAAAGGGCCCCGTGAACCAGGTGAAACAGGGACTTCCGGAGAAAATGGAGCAAGTCTGCGGGACTGGAAGGCTTGCAAGCCCTTGGCAAAGCGGTGAGAAAGGCACAGTGTGGATAATTTCATCCTTGTTCAAAAGGAGAGGCCTACAGCCGCAGTTTGCACCTATGAAAAGCACCAGAGCAATGACAGAGTAACAGAAATGGAAGGGCCTCGGGGACCCAGCTGGCTGGGGCGCAGTGCCTTTATTTCCAGCTCCTGTTGCGGCCCAGCCAGCCTCCTTCTCCCTTCTGTGCTGGGCTCTTCCTGGTGCGCTGCTTTCTTTTTGGTTTTTATTTGGGAGAAGTAGCCTGAACGGGACTCCAGAGCCTCATTTCAGAATTGTGAAGACAAAACAGCATGCCAGGATCTTTGTGTTTGGTAAAACCCACTGCAGACAGATGAAACTGGTCAAATGATGTACGAAAATGTTCAGTCTTAACACATTTTCCATTACCCCTTGTGATAAAACAACTCCGATTCTGTTCAGATTCCTTTCTGAAACAGGGTTGTAACATCTGCGCCTGAATTGGGGGGGCCCGTTTTATAGCTACCACCCTGAGGAAATGCCCGGAGGGAGGGAGGGAGAGAAGGAATGAGAAAGGGAAGTGGAGGTTTTGAATTGCTGGTTCTTGAGTTTGAACCTTTGTTTGATGGTTCTACCTCCGTGGTTCTCAGGCCTGGATGCACATGAGAATCACCTGGGTGCCCAGTCCAATTGGATGAGCGTCTCTGGGGGTGTGACCTTGGCCCTGGCATTTTCCACATTTTCCCAGGTGATTCCACTATGCAGTCAGGTGGGAACCAGGCCTACCTGAGGTAAAGGGAAGGACAGCAGCTGAGTTAAGCCTGATTCATTTGCAACCACCTGAGGTGACTCTTCCCCTCCTTAGGTGATTTGTACCTAATATAATCGGCATAATGAAGTCTAATATCAGTAGAAGTTTGGGAAGTTTTGTGGGTTTTTTTGGTTTTTGGTTTGTTTGGTTTTTTTTTTAAAGAAAAGCTATGTCACCAAACCTTTTCTTTTTCCCCACCTCATAAAAAAGCAACTGGGAAGCATCCCCACTATTACAAATGATCTGGGAGGAGAAAGGACCTCCCTCTACCCCAAGGCCAAAAAGTCTAAATTGTGGCTCTCAACTGCGGCTGCCAGGTGGAATCGTCTGGGAGCTTTAAAAACACTCATGACAGGCCTTACTCCCAGAAATATTCATGTAGCTCGTCTAGGGTGTGGCCTAGACCTCAGGATTCATTCAAGCTCCCCAGGCAATTCCAGTGGGCAGCCAAAGTGGATGTCACCAGTAAAACCTTCATGGTGGCTCTCAACTCTGGCTTCATCAGAATTCCTTTTGGCCTTTTCTTCAAAACACCCATTTTCAGAGAGATTTTGACCTTGGGTAAAGCCCAAGGATCTGGTATTCTGCCTCCCACCTGCAGTTAGGCTGCTTGGGGCAAAGATCCACTCTTCTCAGAGCTCACCTAAGCCATGACCTGGAGTCTCGTCTCTTGGGCAGTAACCGTGTGCCTCACTGGGCAAGTTTGTGTTCACAAGTACATTGGGCTCCCTAATTCAGGGAGACTGAGATGTATTTACAGCTGTGACACTGGGTGACAGAGAAATTCTTGTTGACATGAAGACTTTCCCAAGGGGCTAGGACCCCTGCCAGGGGCAGTTTTGAGGCCAGGCTGGTTGTAAAGGGCCCAGCACACAAACAGGGAATGTTCCTCTGGAAGGAAGAATATGGAAAGTCAGCAGAAGGTGACCCAGCTCGGAGGGTTAGCTTTCTTAGTGAGTTAAGACAGCACTGTTTAGGGAGAACTTTGGCAACTTGGCACCCCACAGCAAGGACACCTCTTTACGGGGCAGCGAGCAATCCATCTTTCTTCTTGCAGTGAGTTTTGTGAACTTGCCATGAAATCACTACCCCAGAGTGTCTTCCACACCAGTCTGCATTACCGTAGAAAGGTAGCCTTCCTGGTTGAGATGGTTAATTTTTAAACCCAGGAGCCCCCCCGGCCCCCATTTCCTCATCTATAAAGAAGGTAAGTAGCAGCCCTGACCTCACATGCATTTGTGATTGTTGGGAACAAAAGAGATTGATTCATATAGGAATTTGACAATAAAGGGTATATGTTATAATTAGCGCTTGGATGCCACTCTTTTTTTAAATGGGATTTCTTGGAGTCCCCAGCGTTAATGGGTTAATCCATAAGGTTCACAGAACCAAGTGGTTAGGGAGGCGTTAGAACCTTTCTCTCCCAGGGCCTGCAGGTCCGAGTAGGAACGTTTCAGAAATGGGAGCGCTTACCCTTCTGCAGCCTGGACTTTTCACAAATGGGCACACACACCCTCACTGCGCTGCCTGAGGAGGAAGCAGCATGGACACTGGGCTATGCAAGAACCCAGACTCTGGGCTGAGCAGACCTGAGTGTGAATTTCTCTCTCTTCCCCAGCAGGGTGGCAAATGACTTGACTTTTCTGTGCAAGGATTAAAAGGCAAAACGTATGTCAAATGTACAGTAACTCGTAACAGAAAAGCAAGGGCCTGAATGCAAACTGAAAAATACCTTTAAATAACGTATTGTTATGACAAGTGGACTCTGGGATAAAGAGCCTCAGTGAAAGGCCTCCACTACGCAGTGCTGAAGACAAGCTCGTATGCTCTGCTATCCCAGGGTGAAGCCTTAAGCAGCAATTTTTGCAACATCTCCTGTTTGGCATAAATCTTTAAACCATACTGTACCTGTTCCTTGAACATTAAAATGATTAAATTTTTGTTAACATTGAGCAAAACCTATGCTCCAGAAAAATACACCGTGTTTATCCTGTGGCCCCAAGTCTCCCTCTGGCATCTGGGGTCTGAAAGCCCAGGAGCACAGGTTTAAGGGAACCACAAATGTAATAGAAGGCAACCAGGACCCTTAATCCCCTTTTCTTTCTCCTTGTTCTTCAAAGGCCTTTTAATCTAAACGTGAAGGTGGCAGACTGGCTATTTCATCAAAAGGTAGAGCTCTAAAAAAAAAAAAAAAAAAGTTTAGCTATCATTGCCATGTCTTGGGAAAAAAACAAAAACTTTAAATCCAGTGTGTGATGTTTGGTGCAGGGCTGCTCTTGGGGAAGTCCCTGTGGGAAAGAAGCTTCCCCACCTGAGAAGACAGTGGTGATCAAACATTTTCTTTACAATAACAAAGTCATCTGGACAATGGGACCTGTGCATAAGCAAAGTATCTTCTGTTGAGCAGACTCATATGCTTCGAGGGGCGGGGGGCAGGAAATGCCTGCAGCAGAAAATGACCATCCCTTCCTTATGGCTGGAACCAGTCCTAAGGATCATCCTACAAGAACCGCTTGGGTGGCCCCAGGATGGGGGTGCTGAGCAGCATCAGCCTTCCGCATACAGGAGGAGGCTGTTACTAAAGTGAAAGTGAAAAAGCCTTTGGATATTAGTAATACCAGTAATATCACCTTGGTATAGGTAGTGACCCTTACAGGCCACAGGGGCATGTTCAAGGGCATGACTTCTTTCGTGCCCTTGCTGATCCTCCAGTGGAACGAGACCAGGTGTTGTTGGAAATGAGAAGCAGGTTGGTGGCTTCCCAGGTCCTGCGTTTACCAGATGGTGGCACTGGCCCCGACTTCAGTACAAACCCTGTGCGCTGCCCCCCCCCGCCCCAGTAAATGCTCGCAGGGCTAATTAAATTTGATGAAAACGATAAAGAAGCAAACCACAGCCCAGGTCTGGTTTAGTGTGTTTTCTTTCTCTCATCATCAAAATTCTGAATATATACACTTAGTTTAAAAATAACCTGGGTTTTATGAACTGCCAAAATGAACTTGGTGTCCTAAACACACTTGCTGCCTTCTGTATCCCCAGCCTCTGACATAGTAGCAATGACAGTGAAGTGCTTCCCCACATGAGCAAGCTGATCAGTGGCCGCTCATTCTCCAAGCAAGAGGTACCCATGCAGGGAAGTAGGAGCGAGTTTGCAGGCACCTTTGCCTCCAGTCGCGAAGGCTGGAGGGGCCCCTTGGGACTTTTCCTAGGGCTTTGGGTCCCTTGGCCCAGCCTTCTCTGGGGGGGTGGGGGTGGGGGAATGAGAGCTCTGTCAGAAGAGCGTGCTGACCTTCCTCTCTTCCGCAGCTGCCATTCTGGGTACGTGGGCGCGCGCTGTGAGCATGCCGACCTCCTGGCCGTGGTGGCCGCCAGCCAGAAGAAGCAGGCCATCACCGCCCTGGTGGTGGTCTCCATCGTGGCCCTGGCTGTCCTCATCATCGCGTGTGTGCTGATACAGTAAGTATTTGCCGCCACCCCTAATGTCAGGTCCCCCTCACCGGGCCATCTGCAGCATGCCCAGATGACAGGGACTCTCGGCGTGGCTTATTGCTGTGGTGTCTGATTGGTGTCAGCGAAGCCGAGAGGAACTTCGGTAATGGCCACGCTGTGTCAAGGGCACACATCCTGGGAGGGTCCCCAACAGTGGGTCTGTGCACTGCTGGAAACCAGTGGAGAAGCAAAGGTGCATGCTCCTTCCCCACCGTTGGGGTTGGAGCCTTCAGAGTTACGATGGGGACGTGCAGGCATTCCAGAGAGCTAGAAATGGCTCCCAGCGTCCTTTGGCAAGTGACAGAGGTGCTTCCTTTCTGCCGAAGGCACATTGCAAATCCCAAAGCCACATCAGAGGTTTCGGTTGCCATTTGGACAGGCTGATGGCAGCCCTTCCTCTTTCTCCACTTCTCTGCCCCTCCTGCATCTTCCAAAACTCATCTTGCATGTTCCAGAAAGCCTTCCTGAGCCCTAGACCAACAGAGACCCTTTTCTTGGACTTACCTGCTTGCCCATATCTGGACTGCTGCACGGAGGGAGACTCCTTAGTGCTGTGTTCACAGCGTCTGGCCAGATGTAGTCCCTGGAAATATCTAGAGACATTTAATTCACAGAGCAAGGCCTCTGAGAATTTATACCTAATTGGCTATGCATAAGGAATTCACAGAAGAGCTAAAGGCTCCCAGTCGGCTCAGTGTAGATTAACTCATGACAGAGATGGTAGTGGATGGGCCATCCCGGCAAAGGCCAGAGGAAGCAGCTATGTGTTAATGAAGGAAGCCAGACTGCAGCCCTCTGAGGATGTGTGGAGTTTGGACAGGTAATTATGAGTCTCTCTCCTGTTTTGTTTATTGGTTTGTTGCTGTTGGGGCAACATACACGCCTCTGGTTCTGGCAACAAATGGATGCCCCGTGGAGCCCCACCCTGCTCATGGTGGCCCTAATTTCAGTCCTTGTGGCCCAAGCCAGCATTACATGGTGCGGGTTGAGGTTGAACTGAGCCGGCCTTTCCTTCCTCTTCAAGCAGTATGTGTCCCCCTGCCACCTGTCTTGGAAAAGGTGGACAAGCAGTCCTGGTTCGGGTTGGAACATAGCCCGGGCTCTGCTGCACATGAGGGCGGTTCTCACGGTTGTCTAGCTGTGCGTGCTCACCCATCATGTCTGTAGTCCTCTATTTCTGTGGCCAGGAGGGTCCCAGAGCCTCAGGAACAAGAACTGCGTGCCCCTCTGAGCTTCTCCAGAGGGATTTAAAAGCAAATTTTGCCAGATTCTCCGGAGACAGGGATAGTCTAGGATGCCTAGACGGCCTCTCTCTTTCCCAGGAAGGCAGCTGGTCCCACCTCCCCTCTGTCTTTTCCCAGCCCATCCTTCCTAGAGACCAAGTCCAGAATCCCTGAGCCAGAGACTAAGCCCTTATCCTAACCAGGCTGCTGGTTGCCTGCGCATGGGGCCCTTCTGAGTTGCAGAGTTGGTTGGGACCAGCTTATCCCATGCCAGAGGGCCCTGGAGGCCTTGGTCTCACTGCCCTGGAATGCTCCTTGCTAGGAAGCGACTGGAATAAGCCCACTGCTAGCCGACTGCAAAAGAGTAATCTCTGATAATGGATCTGGAATCAGACCGCTCTGGCCACCCATGACAGAAGTATGTTATGCAGGAAGGTCTCAGGCTCCTTCTCAGCGCTGCGGCCCAAAGATTCGGGGGCCCTGGTAGCCTTCCCAGGACAGTGCCAAGAGAGGGGCTGGGGGAGGGATCATGAGATGCCACCAGGCATCAAGGGCGCAGCACAGCAACAGGCTTGTTTTCTCATTTGTGTCTGGGCCTGTGTCCACCGGGAGACCCTGCCCAGCCCCCGTGTGTGGATGCGTGGATTAGGCACGTGTCGAGGTTAGAATGAGTAGAAACAAAGTCCTCCGTGGTATCCCATGGGAGACAGCTCTAAATATCGACGTAATCAATGTCTTCCTTAGTGCTTTCTTCTCTGCCCTTCTTTTGGGTTCCCTGGTTCTTTTTTCATGCAAACTCTGCATGCTGTTCATTCCCGCCCACAGAGGGAGGCAGAAGCACTCATGACCCTGGTGCTCCAGGGCTCCGGGTGACACGGGTTCCCCAAGAGGTTGGGTTTGCCACAGCTGGAGAATGGTAGTCCACGGAAAGATTCAAAGCCGTGGCGATTCGTGACTCATTCTCTCATTCTTCCCACGGTCCGTTCAGCCCATCCACGTTTCTTGCTTTGCTGCTGGCAAGACGTGAGGGATGCTTGCCCTCCCCAAGCCCTCACAGCCCTGCCAGCCGGCAGTGGCTGCCTTGTCCCAGCCCTGACAGCCGTTCTTTGCCCCCCCACCTGCTGTGTTGTGGAGAAAGCAGCGGGGAGGCAGCCAGGTTGCCCCGCAAGCCGGGAGCAGAGCTGTGCTCACAGAGCCAGTCCCTGAGGGGCCAGCGGGTGCTTTTGTTGCTGGCCAACATCTGCCCCCAAAGCCACCGCCCTACAAGGCGCTCAGCCCCCTGCTGTGTGTGGCCGGCCCTCCGGAGGCCTCCACGGGAAGGCTGCCGTAGAGTCCAGAGCTGCACCCCTGCCCCCAGGCTCCTGCCCAGCCCGTGTTCTCTGTCCACAGCTGCTGCCAGGTCCGAAAACACTGTGAGTGGTGCCAGGCTCTGGTCTGCCGGCACGAGAAGCCCAGTGCCCTGCTGAAGGGAAGGACCGCGTGCTGCCACTCAGAAACAGGTGAGGGGCCGCGGCGAGGGGGGGCCCCTTTCCCTTGGGAGACACAGCTGGGTGGAGAAACCACCGCCTTCTCCAGGGCAGGGCAGACGTTCTTAGAGGGCGAAGCAAGAGGAGGGTGTTTACCCTCCCAAGTCAGGTTTATCCTAAGGTATGTTTTACTCAGAAGGAAGCACTTTTATCTTTACTGGTCTCTCTGACCTTTGACAAGTTGGTTGGCCTCTCTGAGCCTCCATTTTCTTATTTGAAAAGATGTGCAAGTTGAATGAGTACTGATACAAAGGACCGAGTAGAGCGTATCGCAAACTGTAGACGCACAACCGATGTTCATTCTCTTTCCCTTGAGAAAGTCTCCTGCCCTTTCCCATCGGTGAAAGGAGGGATTTGGCCCACAGGTCTCGCAGGACTCTAGTCTTGGATCCTGTGATCTTTAAGCTTACCACTGTTTTGTGAATATTCTCACTGACATCCACGAAGAATACTGGGCATCTGGAAGTGGGACCAAACCCGCATCTCAGGAGTCCTCACCTGAGCATGACCAGCTTGGGGCTCACGGAGGCAAATGGCTCCTTTATCCAGACAAGCCCTAGAAAGCCACACATCAGCAAGTTCTTCTGAACTGCTCTTGTGACCAGTAGAGCCCATCATAAGTTTGAAGTTCCTTTTCAGGGAAGTAGTGGGACAGGAGACAGTCACCACAGGCTCATCCCCCAAGGGGGACCTCCTCTAGTTAATAGTTGGCATTCCAGAAGCTCACGCTTGTATGGAGAGGGTAGGAAGAAGGGCGGCGGGAAGCTGGAACTCCAACGTGTCCATTAAACCTCTTGGCGACTGGCCCCAGAAGGCGCTGAAGGCCCAGGAGCAGTTTATTCTTCAGGAGCCATTGTAATTGTGCAGAAGCAGTCCTCGTCAGTTAGGAGGCCCACAACTCTTGAGGATGCTAATCCATTAATCCTTACAATGGCCTTAGGAGGAGGAGAATTAGTGAGTGATGCAGGTAAACTGAGTCTGCCAAAGGTCCACTTGGGTCCAACCATCAGTCCACGGGGGAATTAGGATGAGAACCAGGGCCTCTGAAGGCCCCCCTCCCCTCTCTCTTCCACTGCCTCAGAGGACCATCCACTGAGCTAATGAAGTTTTTATATTGTTGCTTGGAACCAATAGAAAAATAGTTTAGGGCGCCTGGGTGGCTCAGTTGGTTAAGTGACTGCCTTCGGCTCAGGTCATGATCCTGGAGTCCTGGGATCGAGTCCCACATCGGGCTCCCTGCTCAGCAGGGAGTCTGCTTCTCCCTCTGACCCTCTTCCCTCTCGTGTTCTCTATCTCTCATTCTCTCTCTCTCAAATAAATAAATAAAATCTTTAAAAAAAAAGAAAAATAGTTTAAATCTTTTAAAAGAAAATTTATAGTAGATTTTGTGCCATTTGTGTGCACCTCAGGAGAGTCATTTAAGGTAGAGGAAGTTTCTTATTAATGTTACTTCTCTGCCCACATTTGGGAGGACATTAGCTTTGAGCCTCCCGACATGGCCCCTGAGGCTGAAGCCCGCTCCCTGAGATGATACGTACCTGTCCACCTCCAGAGGAGCCATGGGAGGGACCAGGACAGGAAGATGTCCAGGCTGCGCTGGACTCTAGAGCTGCCGGGAGCTAGGTCCTTGCTGCCTCCCGTGAGCCACAGAGGACGCCTCAGAGCCCCACCCATTGAGAAACAAATAGGTCCATTCTTAGCTGGCCTGAGGGGAAGCCATTCTGCCACCAGAGTCCTGGACCAGTCCACGAGCTGCCCGCCAAGCCACCCCTTCCAGGGGAACTGGCCGCAGGCTGGCCTGACTGTCCTCACAACACGGTGCGTCCCCACTCTCTGCTGCCGTGACTCACTTCACATTCAGTCAGCCTTGCCTTTGGCACCAGAAGCACCATTTCAGAAGCTGCTGCCCCTGAGGTTGAAACCAGAGGAATTTTGGACTTGGGCCTGACTGCCCAAGAGAACCTGGTGACCTTGGCTGATGCATCTCCAAGTTTCTGTCCCAAGCTTGTTTTCCTAGCACGGCTGGGGGCTGGCCTGCAGCACTTAACTTGTTTCTCCTTCCTTCCAGTGGTCTGAAGAGCCCAGAGGGAGTTTGGCCAGGTAGACTCTGGCAGCCTGAGGAAGAAAGGACTTCTTCAGGATGAGCCGACAGACCTTCCTGCTCTGCCAGCAATCACCTGTGCAGCCTTTTTTGTCTTTTGTGGGCCTTCCTTCAACAACTCTGTCAAGAACTCTGTCTGCTTGGGGTTATTTGGTGTGACCTAGAGAAGAAATCAGTGAACCATGGTTTAAAGACTGGTCAAAAAAGAATTGCAAAGGGGTGGGCTTCCTGTTGACCTAGCTCAGGTGTGTGCGTCCGCCTGCCTCGGAGCCCAGGGGCGTGTGGTGCTGTCTTCTGCCAGTTACGGAGGCTGGGCCCGTCTCCCCACAGCAGTATCCATCCGGCCCAACCCCGGAGATTGCCGTCATTGAGTTTTTTCTCATCCGTTTATTGGAGAAGAAGATGGACACAGGGTAACTATTGGTTACATGAAGATGCCAAGTGTAAGAGGAGCTGTGTATGTCCTCTGTCCACGAGCCCCTCAACCGGCCTGATGTCTCCCACAGGCACACGACGCCGAGGACCTTCCCAAGCCATCGGCAGCCTCGGATATTATTTCTTATTTATGAGACGGATGATGGTTTCATTTTTAATCTCTTAAGTCAATGTAAAAAGCATAAAACCTTTTCAGACTTCTACACAAATGATGTATGTAATGCTGGCTAAAAAGTTGGCTGACTGATTACAACCATCTGGCCTCTTTGGGACGGCTAAGGCTTGGGAAGAGCCACCCAGGACTGCTGAGATGGAACCAGAGGAGGAGTTGCTGATGAGAGCGAAGACTGGGGCTCAAGGGTCTTGCCATTTAAGACACAAAGCAAGGAAATGCCCCAGATACATTCCAGTAGAAAAGTTAGCCATTCCAGCAGCAGAGATTTGTAGCTTTGTTGGGGAGAGAGGTAGAGAGTGCCTGTGTGTGCATCCTCATGGGAAAACACAGGACTAACTGCTGCATGATTGAACGGGTTAACTTCCTAGTGCTTCCTCCGAGCACAGATGCTTAGAAATCGAGCACAAGCAGAGAGCCACAGGCATTTGGGGCCACATCCATGGAAGGGGGGCTGGTCATTTACTTTCCATGCTGTTGCTTGGTTGATTTGTGGCTTTATTTTTAAAAGGAGAAATTGAACTTTCCTGTTTATTTTCTAGCATTAGAAGAAATAATCCTGGTGATTTTTTTTTTTCCTTTTCCATTCAGGATGCTGGTTTTATTAACAAAAACTCTAACAAGTCACCTCCATCAGGGTGGGTCTTGCTTTCCCCTGAGAGAAGGAGAAATTGTTTTCATGGGCATCTGGGTATGTTCTGACCCATCGGGCTTGCCTGTGGAAAACACTGGTTCCCTCCAGCTAAACAGCAGAGAGCTTATCCCTAGGAATTTTCATTAAAAATTGTAAACAGAATAACAGTGAAATAATATGTGAAGTCCTTATGTGAGGGAACTCTTTATTCACTAATATTTGAAAAATGAAAGATTTCTACCTATTAGTGCATCTAGCTCCACCCATCACGAAAGGGACCTTTAAAACATGTCAAGTTGGCTTAAAATTTCTATCAGGTTATTTTTGTCCTCCCCTAATTCTTCCCCGATCTGTCCATTTCGATGAATTGTCTCATTTCTTACAATTTTGAGGCAAGTGTGTGACCCGTGTCTTAGCTTTGGCACTTTCATGGAATGATGGAATGAAGCAGTGAGGGCAGAAGTGGGGTCTGCTTGCCTGCTGGCCCCGCTGACAGTGTAATCGATGCAGCTCCCAGGCTTAAGCTGGCATTGCTTGCGCCCGTCCTACAGCGGCAGGGATGCGGGCCGAGGCTCCCCGGTAGCATCTTGCTCAGAGACCGGTCCCACTGACCCGGGTTTGCAGAGCCCCCGTTTTCACTCCTCTCATCAGACCCTCCTGAAAGTCTGAGAGCCTGGAGAGAGAGACCAATGGCCGTGGGTAGTGTATTTTTAACTTTAGGTCACATTTTTACTTTAGGACAATCTTTCCTCAGTCTTTTGGAGACTATTTGAGGTCTGGTTGCCTTCAGAGAATAGGAACCGATGTGAAATGTTTCGTGGGGCTTTCTTCACCTGATGGAGGGCAGGACCCGTGTTCGGTCTCCAGGCATCCAAGAGTCTTCACAGAGGTGTGAGGAGGATGAGAACCTTCTCGGGTCCCTGCAGGGACTTCACCTTTAGCGTCTGTGAATGCTCTGGTCCTCACGCTACAGTCACCCGCGCCCCTTCCCTCATGCCCGTGCAATCATTCCGTGCACTGTGCAGTGAACAGGCGTGGGCCTCCTGTGAGTGCTCCCGAGGCAGTTCTCCGTAAACCAGCAGGTCCGAAGAGAGTTGCAAGCAGAGGCTAGGTGACGGCAGGCCTGGACGAACTTTCATCCATGCCCAGGATAGGAGAGCCTTGCTTCTTGGTGATTTCGCTTTAAAAATCAGATGGCCAGCAAGCATTGGATTCCTGGGCCATTTCGTGGTGTTGGTACATTTTGAGTTAGCTGTAAAAATGCCCCCTTTTGAGGTTAAAAATGCATCTTCGAATCCATCCTTACAGGTTCCCTGTGTTTCCTTGGCCTCTAGAAAGCCAAGGATTATGACTGGGGATTCATTCCTGAGGCCTTTCCTGGTCAGCAGCCGCACACCTGGGAGCGGGAAGCAGAGCTGCTTCCAATGTCTAGCACAGGAGAAATGAAAAGCCCCCATTAAAAAAAGGGAGGGGGTGCTTGCAGATATTTGATGGAGCCTAGATTCTCCCACTGCTCTACAGGCTGTGACATCTCTAAGCATACTGGCCAGAAACCTTTTCTTCGAGATGGAAAGATAGCCGCCAACCCTGATCTGGAAGATGCTTCTGACACACACGAAGTCAAGCAAGATATGAGCTTGGCCATTGTGTTCCAGCAGAGGAGGTGGGCGCAGTGTCCCAGAGTCTATTTTCCTAAGACAGGAGGAGGTGGGATTGACACTTGGCCACCAGGGCATTGGTGAGGCAGGAGGAGGTGTGGTTCTAGAGCTTCCTGGGAAACTGTGCTCTGCAGGTGGAGAAGATGCATCTTCAGCCAGATCTTGCAGGGCCGGGTTGTCTCGCTGTGCCTGGGCCACAAGTCGCTTCTCCCAGCAGTTTTGGCAGAAGTGGATCGACAAGGTTCCAGCGCTACTCAGGAGACCCTGCCCGCCCAGTAGGATCTGGGCTTCGGTGTCTCCCAACCTGCTTGGCCAAGGAAGGGAAGGATGCAAAAGCCCGGCCCCAAAGGGGACATCACAGACACGAGACGAACACATACGTTTGTTCTCCATGTTGGAACATAAGGCCGGTCCTCTCCAGCTGCTGATTTTACCAGGCTCTCTGAAAGACCTCGTGGTGAACATACCCACAGTCCCGAAAAGCAGCCCCTCTTCCTAGGGTAGTAACTTACTGAAGTATTCAACTTTTCATTATCTTTATTATAACAAACCTGATGCTTTTTTTTTTTTTTTAGAACTTGTTACTCTGACTTCTGTATATGTTGCACTGAAAAGGTTAATATTTAATGTTTTAATTTATTTTGTGTGATAAGTTAATTTTGATTTCTGTAATGTGTTAATGTGATCAGCAGTTCTTTTCCTTAATATCTGAATTATACTTATTTAAAGAGTAGTGAGCAATATAAAATGCAGCTGTGTTTTTCAGTCATGTGCATTGTTGTCCAGTTGTACTGTACCTTGTTTGGAAGGATGAAGGAATGAACTCTTTTTTTTTTTTTTCCTAAATCAAGACTGGAGCTTTTCTTTCATGAGATTGGCGTATTGCTGAAAAATTAAGAATTTTCCCCACACATGTGAATGATGAGGAAAAATTAGATGCTCTTTTGCAAATTTAGGGAATCCTAAAATTAACCAGAGTTGATCCCTGTCTGCTTGAAGAAAACGAATCCTCCGAAGTTCCCAGTGTATTAGTCTTTCATCTGCTATGTATCTGACAATATGCTAAATGATGCAGAGGAAAATATAAAACACACAATCCCTGCCCCCGAAGGAACTGAGATCTGGCTGAGAGACTAACATGCAAAAACTTATTCTGGACCAATTGCAGACAACTTGCAAAGAAAGCCTAAACTGTTAAGGTAGAGAGCACGTGTGAATAGCTGTGGTTCTCCAGGTGTGCTCCCCAGACCAGCAGCATCAGCATCACCTGGGACCTTCTCAGGAATGCAAATTTTCAAGCCTCAGACCTATTAAATTCCAGAGGTGTCCCACGCCCCCCTCCACCTTCTAGGTGTTTCTAATACATGCTCAAGTTTGAAAACCACTGTCCTCTAGGACTCAGCGAAGGGCAAGTTAGTGTGGGGCCACAGTTTTTAGGAAAAGCTTTATAGAGGCTTTGCGGAGGAAATGAAACAACGCAGTTTACCCCTTAGGTGTTCAGAGTTAATGGCCATCAGAACGTATGGTCATGACTTAAGGCCTGCATTTATTTGGAATTTCTCTGCTCAGCCTAGTTGAAGGAGAAAACAGGCCCGTCCACCCCTGACCCCCGCCACCCTCAGTCACCCACCCCGTTCCCCACTGCCCAGTTTCTCACTGTAAGGAACTTTCTGCAACTATCAGCCCAGTTCTTACAAGCCTCACCGCACTTGAATCCCCATGGTTAACCCCCCTGCTCTTCTGACCCATGTGTGGACCTCACGTGTGTGACGTAGGAGGAGCTCATGCAGCAGAGAGCAAAACAGTGGTGGAATGGCATGAGATCTTGGTCCCAGGGGATGCTCAGCTTCGAGAGCAAGGGCGAGCCCGCAGACCCCGTTGTCCAGGCGCCAGAGGGCTTAGGATCTCCCTGAACTGCAGGAAGATGAAAACCTAGGCAACTCCTTGTCGCAAGTGTGCTGGCCTGGTAGCTGTCCCTCAACAGAGCCTTTATCCACCTCTTGGGAGAAGGAGGGAGAGAGACCTGCTCCCCTTACGCCACGTTCCCTCCCTCCCCTTGACCCTATTCCATCTCCAGGGACCTCTCCAGGCCTTGTTTCTAACCCATGGGATGTTCTTGTCCCCCTCCTTCTCCCTGATTT